TGTTTAAGTAGGGGCCCAATACTGGATGTTGTTCTCGACTTTGATTTGGCATAAGAAAATAAATACTTTGGGTTTCTTTCGATTTCATTTATGGCTTTTAGTTCTTCCCGCGATTCCTGACTCCTATAAGATTCCTTTAGCTTAAGTTCGATGTTTGCTATTTCTCTGACCAGTGACTCCCTACGCATTTCAGATATATTGGCCTCTTTTAGCAGCTCTGTTATTCTTTTCCGTCGCCTGTAAAGGGAGCGCCTGTCTCTTTCTATTTTACATCTACTCCTCCTTTTTCTTAAAGGAATAAGCCTTGAGCATACATCGAGTGCCACCGAGTTAATCTGTTCTAGGCATAAGTTGGGGTCTGTGTTGCTTAGTCCCATCATCTCAGCTTAAAATCGTTTAGGGCTTGGTTTACTTGGTTCCACTTTATGTTCTTGTTATTGAAGTTGAATTTGATGAAGGCTCCCTCGTTACTGATCCCATTTTGTCGGTCTGGGGCTCCGCACATGCATGTCTGAACCTCGATTATGTTGTGATCTGGGTATATTGTTTTTGATATGGTGACATTTCGTATCAGATATCATGTTAGTGAAGATGAGGTCTAGTGTATTCTCCAGTCTAGTAGGCTCTATTATTTGCTGGTTTAAGTTAAATTTTGTGCAGAGATTTAAAAGCTCGTGTGTGTGTGAGTTCTCGTCAGAGCTGCCTCCTGGTGGTATCTCTGCAACAACATTATTTGCTATATTCCTCCATTTTAGGTGCCTCAAGTTGAAATCCCCCAGGAGCAAGATGTTGGGGGCAGGCGCTGGCAGATTTTCCAGACAGTGGTCAATTTTTGACAGCTGTTCCTGGAATTCCTGGGACGTTGCATCCGGAGGCTTGTAGACTACCACAATGACTAGGTTTTGGTTCTCGATCTTCACTGCTAAAACTTCCACTACATCATTTGAAGCATTAAGCAGTTCTGTGCAAACAGTGACTCTGCGATATACAGGCCAACCCACCCCCTCCCCCAACCTTTTGCTTATTCACTCTGTCGTATTTGTATAGGTTGTAACCTGGGAAGTATGTTAGGAAGTATTTCTCCAGTCATAGAGTGGTCATAAAGTGGAAAAATCTGGCGAGTGATGTAGTGGAGGCAGGAACCATACATAGCTTTAAGACGAGGTATGATAAAGCTCAAGGAGCACCGAGAGAGAGGACCTAGTAGCGTTCAGTGAAGAGGCGGGGTCAGCAGCTGAGTCTCGACCCCTGCAACCACAATTAGGTGAGTACAATTAGGTGAGTACAATTAGGTGAGTACAATTAGGTGAGTACAATTAGGTGAGTACACTCGGAACAGGATCATCATCAAAACTACAAGAACAAGGACGATTGATTGGAAATTTCACAAAGAAGCGAGCACGGGGATATTAGATAGTAGTTTTTCAATGTGAGTGCGGCAAATATGTGGATAAGGCAGTAGCTCAGTTCAAGTGAAGTCCATGGAGACGTTCAAGCATAGGAACGGCAAGTGCTAGATTGTCGGTCATTATGGTCGTTGGAATTCAGTCTCGTCACATATAAAGCTATGGAACCCAAGAAGGGAAAAGAAGACAGGAAACAGGAGACAGATGCTGCTAACCTCACTTAGGGTAATAGAAAGTGGAATGACTTGGATGAAGAAGCAGTAACAGCTGACTCCATGCAGAGCTTTAATAATAGATATGCTAATGACCACGAGGCAAAGATGGAGGAAACCTGGTCATAACTAGTTACGAGGTGGGGGCTGAGAACTAACAGTCGACCTTGAAACTATAAACATTTGGGTACAAACAGGTGAGTAAACCTATAAATAAGAGCAGTACATACCAGGCTCTCAAGTATGAAAGACTCAAGAAATGCTAGTAACGACATGTTCAAAGTAACACATTCTCGAGTATGAAGCACCTGTTTGAAACCCTCTCATTTAATAGAACACAAAACTGAAACTCAGAGAAAACAGAGCATACAAACTTATGATTTAAAGGAATGAACTACGAAGAAAGGAGAGAGCTATGCTCTCTGTGCTCCGGAGCACAGAGAGAAAAGGCAAGAGCAGACTTTGTTATGGCTGAAACAATAACAAGAAGACTTAGTTAAAAGCTGCATAACCAAATTTGCCATAGAAATATAAAAAAAAATATTTCCTCAGTTTAATAGCGGTAAATAAGTGGAATGACCTAAAACAGCTATATATCTGAAGCACAATTTTTACAGGATTAAAAAAATATATGTAATTTAAAGGGTAACTTCATTCAGTCGGAAATTGTGAGGTAGGGAGTCATGAGTCAGAGCTTAACCTTGCACAATCAACTAAGAGATATGTGACAGCTCCTCCTGGTGAGAAAGAAGTTACATGAAAAAAAAACTGAAAAGGCTCAATGGCTGTTATTGGATGACAGGGAGAAAAATAACAGATATGAAAATATGACGTCATGAGGTGCGAGGAAATAGAGAAACAAAAGAAAGTTTCTTAGCACCAACGAGAACAAGACGACACAATTGTAAACTTAAAGATACTACTAGCACAGCCCAGCTGCTGTGACTACGAACACTGATAACGATATTACTAGCACAGCCCAGCTGCTGTAACTACGAACACTGATAACGATATTACTAGCACAGCCCAGCTGCTGTAACTACGAACACTGATAACGATATTACTAGCACAGCCCAGCTGCTGTGACTACGAACACTGATAACGATATTACTAGCACAGCCCAGCTGCTGTAACTACGAACACTGATAACGATATTACTAGCACAGCCCAGCTACTGTAACTACGAACACTGATGATACTACTAGCACAGCCCAGCTGCTGTAACTACGAACACTGATGATACTACTAGCACAGCCCAGCTGCTGTAACTACGAACACTGATAACGATATTACTAGCACAGCCCAGCTGATGTAACTACGAACACTGATAACGATATTACTAGCACAGCCCAGCTGCTGTAACTACGAACACTGATAACGATATTACTAGCACAGCACAGCTGCTGTGACTACGAACACTGATAACGATATTACTAGCACAGCCCAGCTGCTGTAACTACGAACACTGATAACGATATTACTAGCACAGCCCAGCTGCTGTAACTACGAACACTGATAACGATACTACTAGCACAGCCCAGCTGCTGTAACTACGAACACTGATAACGATATTACTAGCACAGCCCAGCTGCTGTAACTACGAACACTGATAACGATACTACTAGCACAGCCCAGCTGCTGTAACTACGAACACTGATAAGGATATTACTAGCACAGCCCAGCTGCTGTAACTACGAACACTGATAACGATATTACTAGCACAGCCCAGCTGCTGTAACTACGAGCACTGATAACGATACTACTAGCACAGCCCAGCTGCTGTAACTACGAACACTGATGACGATATTACTAGCACAGCCCAGCTGCTGTAACTACGAACACTGATAACGATATTACTAGCACAGCCCAGCTGCTGTAACTACGAACACTGATGACGATACTAATAGCACAGCCCAGCTGCTGTGACTTCGAACACTGATGACGATACTACTAGTACAGCCCAGCTGCTGTAACTACGAACACTGATGACGATACTACTAGCACAGCCCAGCTGCTGTGACTACGAACACTGATGACGATACTACTAGCACAGCCCAGCTGCTGTGACTACGAACACTGATAACGATATTACTAGCACAGCCCAGCTGCTGTAACTACGAACACTGATAACGATATTACTAGCACAGCCCAGCTGCTGTAACTACGAACACTGATAACGATATTACTAGCACAGCCCAGCTGCTGTAACTACGAACACTGATAACGATATTACTAGCACAGCCCAGCTGCTGTAACTACGAACACTGATAACGATATTACTAACACAGCCCAGCTGCTGTAACTACGAACACTGATGACGATACTAATAGCACAGCCCAGCTGCTGTAACTACGAACACTGATAACGATATTACTAGCACAGCCCAGCTGCTGTAACTACGAACACTGATAACGATATTACTAGCACAGCCCAGCTGCTGTAACTACGAACACTGATAACGATATTACTAGCACAGCCCAGCTGCTGTAACTACGAACACTGATAACGATATTACTAGCACAGCCCAGCTGCTGTAACTACGAACACTGATGACGATACTACTAGCATAACTGCTCCTGTAGCTTCAAACAGTTAATCACACATACCATCACTACCAAATATAAAAAATACAATGGTGTGTTGCTATTGTTTGATAACACCAACTTAAAATTAATTCGTTATAATGTTCGGTCTTCAGAGATCCTAAACACAACTTGTCACTTTCACCACACAGTAAAATTCTCATTTCACCCAACTAATAAATAATGCGTTAAGTGACAAATTAAACACTTAGGGTTAAAAGAGAGATTTAGTAGTAGTAGTAGTAGTAGTAGTAGTAGTAGTAGTAGTAGTTAGTAATATTAATAATAATTATAATAATAATAATAATAATAATAATAATAATAATAATAATAATAATAATAATAATAATAATAATAATAATTTTGAGTCACACAAGGAAAGCAGTAGGTATACGTGAATTAGGACAAAATTAGGCACAAAATAAAGACACTAAATATGCAGGGCGTTTCATGTACTAATTACTAATCACCGCAAAAGACCTTGTGTGGCATAAGGGCTTCTTACTGCAGGCTTCTACCTGCATGCAGCAGCATACTGCCAATCATATTAAAGAAAAGATACAGGTGGCGAGCAGTTTTTTATTTTGATAACGCTTCGTTCTATGTAGCGGTGTAATGCAATAAAGGTTTGCTCAGCGCTTATGTCTTGTCTTTCAGCTACCATATGAGCGACGCTTAAAATCACTTGGGCACTGTAAGTGTTCCACGCACTGCTGTGGGTAATCTACGCTACAATCTGAGTGTTCATTGTTTTGTTGAATCCGGCGGTTTTATCGACCCTCCTGATAAGGTGTATCGTGCAGAGCATACAGCATGGCAGTAGTGGTCTGGAACCCGGCAGGGTAGTGTGTGTGTGTCTGTGTGTGCCTGTGTGTGTGTCTGTGTGTGCTCCTGCCCAGTGTTTTACTAGGATTGTACATGGACAAAAGTGGAACCTGGCAAGGTGGGAGGTGTTTATCTGTGTTCCTGTCCGCTGCTGCACCGGGAGTCTACCAAAAGCGTACAGGGATAGTAATGAACTACGGACTGAACCTCAGCATTATCATCCCTTATTAGATCTGTCGTGGTGACCAACAGATGCTGACGCCTGCCTGTGGAAGGTGACCGCCTGTTTACCTCAAACGTAAGACTTAAATACTTTCACAGTCGAGTGTGTCATGAGCTACAGATTAATTTCATCCTCAGCAACAAATTACAGACAAAACCGTCGTGTAGTCTCATTTCCAGTATCTGAGATAATTATGAGTTATTACAGCTTATTAATACACTAATTTCCAAGTTTTTATTCATCTTTCTATACGTGAGTAAAGCCACAGTTCCTGGGCCTCATCTTATCAAAGACTATCCAGATAATTCTATATTGTATTTACACAAATAATCCGCACATAGGAGGGTGAAACTAGTTAATGGTCCGAGTCGGACCGAAACATCAGCCAAAATTTCATACTCCTGTGTGTGGGTCATTTGTGTATTGTTCCAGTCACTGTATTGCGCCTATCTATTCTTATTACATTTTATTTTCACATCAACACAGAGTAGGGTATCCCTATGTTACATTATTTGCTTGTGTGTTATACTTGCTGAGAAAACTATCTTCCTGTTGGTTTCCATGTGTCTCTTCCACCTGGTTTCCCAGTCCAACATTCTGTTTCAATCCACTTTATCGATTCCTGTGGGTATCTTGCATGCTGATATCATGTCCTACCTAAGTCTGTAAGATATTTATCTCTCAGTCTGTCTTTCAGGAGCCTCGGGGTCTTGATTTCAGAAACAAGTCTGATAGCAGATCCTAGGATCTTAAGTTTTTCTTATGTATTTATGTTGGTTCTATACTGGCGCTGCATACCTATGTTGGTCTCATGTGCGTATGGTGTATATCACACTAGGATAAAGTAACTATTGCACATCTCACTGAAATACCGAGAGAAACGTTGTCTTTAAAAGGGTTACTCTGCATTATATGTCTATTGAATAATAATAAGGGAAACTTTATTTAATCTCCTGAAAGTTGTGTGTTCTTAAATTTGTCAACGTTGCTCACGGACTATTTTGAACTATGTAAATGTTATGGTTCTGCCTGGGTGCATGTGTCCTGATGGTATCCTGTTTATGTGAGCTGCTGGTGACATTACTCGTGGTATTATGCTGCAGTTACTACTATTGCTGCTGCTACTACTACTACTACTACTACTACTACTACTACTACTACTACTACTACTACTACTACTACTACTACTACTACTACTACTACAACAACTGCTGCTTCTGATATTACTATTAATACTGTCACTACTACTACTACTACTACTACTGCTACTACTACTGCTACTGCTATTACTATTACTTCTACCACTACTGTTGTCACTGCTATACTACTACTAATACTACTATTATTTCTACCACTACTATTATTTCTGCTACTACTACTACTATTGCTTCTACCGCCACTACTGTTGTTACTGCTGCTGCTGCTGCTGCTGCTACTACTACTACTACTACTACTACTACTACTACTACTACTACTACTACTACTACTACTACTACTACTACTACTACTGAAAATATAACACATCAGCCGTTTCCCACCGAGGCAAGGTGACCCAAAAAAGAATGAAAAAAACTTTCATCATCATTCAACACTTTCACCATCACTCATACATAATCATTGTCCTTGCAGAGGCGCTCAGATACGACAATTTAGATGTCCCTCCAAATTGCCAATATCCTAAACTCCTCCAGGACTCATCCCCGGCTAACCGTTTTCCTGAATCCCTTCACAAAATATTACCCTGCTCACACTCCCACGTTTAACACATATTATCCCCCAGTCCACACAGCAGGACTCGAACCTGCAAGCTCTGTATCAGAGTACACAGTACTATGATACAGAAGAGTGTGCAGGTTCGAGTCCTGCAGGTTCGAAAGTCTGTATTATTAATATATATATATATATATATATATATATTTATATATATATATATATATATATATATATATATATATATATATTAATAATACAGACTTTCGAACCTGCAGGACTCGAACCTGAAAAGCTCTGTATCAGAGTACACAGTACTATGTACAGAAGATGTGCGGGTTTCGAGTCCTGCAGGTTCGAAGTCTGTATTATTAATATATATATATTTTTATATATTATATATATTTTATATATATATATATATATATATTATATATTATAAAATATATATATTAATAATACAGACTTTCGTAAAGACAAGTTCTGCACTCGTAGATAATATTGTCATTCCCTGGATACGGTTGAGATTAACAATGAATGCATCCATAGTCTAACTGTCTGGCATAATGCTAATGTAAATAAATGTCCACGGAGTTACCTATATCATTACATTGTCCGAGTTGTTTACTAATATTGTCATCAGTGATACTGTGGTCCAGATAACCGAGGTGCGTGATGAAGTCGATGATTCAGTTGCATATAATTAACTTAGTATTCTTGTAAGATAGCCACGATAGCCACGATACCATTTTGACTGTGTTGGTATGGCAGGTTCAGCTGTCAAGCGTGCAATAAATACTGCATAATGTGTTCTCTTTTGTAAAGTACATTTTTTTAAACAGCGTCAAATAAAAAGTAGTGTGCAGACACGCTGTTCTGCGAGAGTTGCATTGTGGGAGCATCTGCAGTGTGCGACTATTGTGTCTTATGTGAGAGTTACACTGCGGGAACACTGTGTTGTGTGTTGGGGGTGTATGTATGTGTGTGTGTGTGGGGTGTGTGTGTGTGTACTCACCTAATTGAGGTTGCAGGGGCCAAGTCCTAGCTCCTGGTGTGTGTGTGTGTGTGTGTGTGTGTGTGTGTGTGTGTGTGTGTACTCACCTATTTGTACTCACCTATTTGTGGTTGCAGGGGTCGAGTCCTAGCTCCTGGCCCCGCCTCTTCACCGGTTGCTACTAGGCCCTCTCTCTCCCCGCTCCATGAGCTTTATCAAACCTCGTCTTAAAACTGTGTATGGTTCCTGCCTCCACTACGTCATTTTCTAGGCTATTCCACTGCCTTACAACTCTATGACTGAAGAAATACTTCCTACTATCTCTCGGCCTCATTTGTGTCTTCAACTTCCAATTGTGCGCCTTTGGTTTCGGTCCCTCCTGGAACATTTTGTCCTTTTTCCACCTTGTTATTCCACGCAGTATTTTATAATGTCGTTATCATGCTCCCTGCCCCTCCTGCCCTCCAGTGTCTCAGGCTATTCCCTTAATCTTTCTTCATAGGCCCTTTCCCCCTTAGCTCTGGAACTAACCTTGTTGCAACCTTTGTACTTTCTCTAGTTCTTGACGAGCTTTATCAAGTGCGGGTTCCAAAACAGGTGCTGCATACTCCAGTATGGGCCTGACATACACGGTGTACAGTGTCTTGAATGATTCCTTACTAAGGTATCGGAATTGCTGTTCTCGGTTTTTGCCAGGCCCCCATTTTGCTGCAGCAGTTATCTGATTGTTTGTGTGCTTCCGGGACTTTGCCTCCGGTGTTATACTCACCCCAAGATCTTTCTCCTTGAGTGAGGTTTGCAGTCTTTTGGCCACCTAGCCTATACTCTGTCTGTGGTCTTCTGTCCCCTTCCCTATCTTCATGACTTTGCATTTGGCAGGATTAAATTCGAGAAGCCTTTTTGCTGGACCGGGGTGTCCAGTCTGTCCAGGTCTCTTTAAAGGGTCCTCCCTGGTCCTCATCAGATTTAATTTTTCCTCATTAACTTCAAAATCATCTGCAAACAGGGACACTTCTGAGTCTAACCCTTCCGTCATGTCGTTCACATATAAAAAAAATTTAGCACGGTCCTAGGAAGACCCTGTGGGACCCCGTCGTCACAGGTGCCCCTGGGGAAAACATCATTACGTACCATGACTCTTTGGGTTGCCTCCCTGTCGGGTATTCTCTGATCCATTGCAGTGCCCTTCCTGTTATATGCGCTGATGCTCTAGCTTCTGCACTAATCTCTTGTAGGAACTGTGTCAAAGGCCTTCTTGCAGTCCAAAAAGGGATGCAATAAACCCCACCCCTCTCTCTCTTGTCTTACTTCTGTTATTTTATCAAAAAAATCCAGAAGGTTTGTGACACAGGATTGCCTTCCGTGAATCCGTGCTGGTTGGCTTTATACCCCTGTTCCGTTCCAGGTGCTCCACCACTCTCCCCCTGATAATCTTCTCCATAATTTTGCTTTACTAAAACACGTCCAATGACCCCAGGTCTATAGTTTGTGCCTCTTTTCTGTCCCCTTTTTTTGGGAAAAATGGGAACTACATTGCCGTCTTCCATACCTCAGGTATTTGCCCATTTTTCCAGGGATGTGTTGAAGATTGTGGAAAGTGGTACGCACAACATATCTGCTCCCTCTCTAAGGACCCACTGAGAGATGGTGTCCGGCCCCAAATTGCCTTTGAGGTATCGATGTCCCTTAGCATTTTTCTTCACCTCCTCTCATCTGTATGATGTCGTCCAAACTTGTTGGTGTATTCCTTGTTGGTGTCCCCATCTGGTCTGTCCCCCCAGAGTCCTTCCTGTCTCTACTGTAAATACTTCCTTAAATCTCGTGTTGAGCTCCTCACATACCTCTTGATCGTTTCTTGTGAGTTCTCCACCTTCTTTCCTCACCCTTATCACCTGGTCCTTGACTGTTGTCTTCCTCCTATGTGGCTATACAGCAGTTTCGGGTCAGATTTGCCCTTTCGTGCTATGTCGTTTTCATACTGTGGGTTGGGCCTCCCTCCTTATCTGCGCATACTCGTTTCTGGCTCTTCTATAATCTCCTTGTTTTCCTGGGTCTATGCCTCCTGTACCTTTTCCATTCTCTGTTGCACTTAGTTTTTGCCTCCCTACACCTTCGGGGTAAACCAAGGATTTGTTTTGGTCTTCCTATTATTTCTGTTTCCCTTGGGAACAAAACTTTCCTCTGCCTCCTTGCACTTTGTTGCCACATATTCCATCATCTCGTTTACTGATTTTCCTCCCATTTCTCTGTCCCTGAACCTCCTGCAGGAAGTTTCTCATACCTGTGTAGTCCCCCTTTTATAGTTTGGCCTGTCCCTTCAGTTCCCGTTACCTTCTCCACTTGTAAAATCTATATATAGTCAAAACTCAGA